GTGTTCTGTTGTGTCCTCCCTCCCAACCCCTCTGCAAATCTTGGAACTCAACTAGCCTGCAAGCAATGAGACAATCAATGATTGATATGTGACAAAACTTCTAGGCTGGATGGATACTCAATCTGAAGTACAGGTGACCAAAAAAATAGGGTAAATGGAAAAGACTTTAGATTTAGAAAATCTAGGCAATTTAGAGAAGAGGAATTCAAAGAATTACACTTATAAAATAAGAGAAAGTGGTTTATAGACACTGTATCTCAAAAGGAGAAAGGTCTCTAGAATTAAATACCAAGAGAACTGATTTTGTTACATTATTCTTACATGCCACAAACTTAGTATTGATCATTTAAAAATACTCTATAGTGTGAGGTTTAAGGAACAATGGTTCCTAATTAGTGTTTTAATAAGTGTGTTAGCACTGCCTTGTGCCATTCTGCAACGTCATTTATGGTAAATTAAGGAACACTTTCCCTTCCCATCTTCCATTAGTGTTTTAATGCTAGGAGGTAGGGAAAAAACTGATCCATATTCAAGAGGAAAGGAGGAAAAACAATAACAAATTGGCATCTCTTCTGTGAATTGCCCCACAGGCCAAGCATTTTTATGTTCTTAATCATTATTAAATGACTTAACATGACACCCAGAGCTTGACGAATGATTGCATCCTGACATGAGAACGAATTACAAATGAAATGAAAGATCAAGCTGTATTAGAGGATTGCCTCTGGGAAATGAAAATCTTTAATTCTCTTTTATTATTGACATTTATTTGGCCGCCATGAATAACAACACAGCAAAGAGATTCAGCTATGCTTGTGCACTGAATAGCTTATCCCAGGGCTCAAAACTGCATTAACATTTATCATATTTGCTTTTGTAGCTGACACTACTGAACAGATTCTCCATCCATCTTGTATTTATCATGCATTGCAGATACAGTACATCCTCTAATTTAAGTTCATTTTCATATAGGAGGAACAGCAAAGATTAGCCAATGTCTTTGCTCAAATAAATTCCTGCTGGTAAGCATTCCTAAGAATGGTTTAATAGATTTAATAAAGAACAAAATGAGTTGACAAGGAAACTCAGTCATAGGAAGGGGAGGCTAATTTAAAAGGTTTCAATTTTGGGAAAATTGTGCAAATTCACAATGAGGAAGACAATTGTACAATATGTATATCTGCAATAATATAAAGCCTTAAAATAAATGTCTCCATAAAGAGCAACCAAATAGCATTTCATGAATCTGAAGGCAGTACTACAGTTCCTATAAGATAAGAAGTCTGCATGTTTTTCAACTTTCCAAACAGTGTTCATTGCTAAGACAGGAACAGGGCATACAATACAGAAAGACAGGAATTCAGATAGTTATTATCAATGTAGGGATATCTTTTCATAACTTGTTTCTTTTCTCTCTTGTACAAATCAACAATGTGGCTTTCCTGTCACAACAGGAAAAGATTATTATATCATACCTAGTGCCTTTGCTTACATGATCTTCTTTGACTGGATTGTCATCCTTTCTTTAAATCCTTCCTACAATTCAAGGCTTACCAACGATATCAAAGTATCTTGGGAAAACCACTTAATATCTCTGAATCTTGTCTGAAAAATTATTTTTTAGTGTTCTTTGTTTTTTATACTTTTAATTATGGAAAATCTTAAACATATACACATAATGACCACCCGTCATATATCCATCACCCAGCTTCCATAATTATTAACTCATGATGAATGTCATTTCATCTATAACCCCACTTCCCTATTTACCACTCACTGAACTATTTTGAAACAAATATTTTTTGAAGTAAATCTCTGAATCACGCTTTTGACAATTCTAAAATAAGGAAATTGGAATGAATTAATTCTAGGTTCCCTTCTCCCCAAAATTTAACAATAATTTCTTCTTTGGCCCTTTTCAGGCTTATAATATTTAATTTAGCAAAAATTTACTTCATATTCACTATAACATCTTTTTTTAAGTTTTATTGATCTCCTTCTTTGAATCAATACAACCCATATTATCTGTAGCAATAATTTAGGAGTATAACTATACTTCCTTTTATTTATATTTTGATGTGTATTAATTTTATTTCCCAGTTAGATCTTTAAGGCTCATATCTTAAATTTCAGTGCTCAGCAGAATACTGAACCAACACAAAGGTAATAATTGCTACTGTTTTAATAATTATTAATTAACTGATTGATTTTAATCTTAATGGTTCAGACAGAATTAAAAGGTTTGGGGTCAGCCCCGTGGCCGAGTGCTTAAGTTCGCGTGCTCTGCTTCGGCAGCACAGGGTTTCACGGGTTTGGATCCTGGGCCAGGACATGGTACTGCTCATCAGGCCACGCTGAGGCAGTGTTCCACATAGCACAACCAGAAGGGCCTACAAGTAGAATGTACAACTATGTACTGGGGGGCGTCAGGGAGAAAGAAAAAAAGAAGGAAAAAAAAAGATTGGCAACAGATGTTAGCTCAGGTGCCAATCTAAAAAAAAAGGTTCATATTTTGGCTTTAATAGTAGATAGCATCATCTTGACAATATTAATCATTTTAATCAATAAAATGTTTGTTTACTAGATGAAATTCTTATTCTATTTCTATGAGTGCTATAAAATAGATGGCTGAATAAAAACAGAAGTGAGGTTTTTTTTCTTGAAGTTTAAAACTGAAGAAGTAATTTATTTCTGGATTTTGTTTATTCACAATTAGATAAATTTATTTTATTAAAGTATAGGTATCTGGTAAGTAAAATGTTCTGGGTTTTTTTCCAGGAAGGACATTTCTAGACTGACAGTATCTCCAAAATGTTAAAGTAAATAAACCAAACCAAAGTGGATTTACTCAATTGAATTTTAATAAATTATCTTCTTGAAAATAAAATATTTTCTACTGAGATAGAAGGTAGGTTTATTAAAATTAAAAACTATAAAAGGAGGGCTGGCTTGGTGGCATAGTGGTTTAAATTTGTGTGCTCTGCTTCGGTGGACAGGGGTTCGCAGGTTCAAATCCCAGGCACAGAGCTTATGCACCACTTGTCAAACCACGCTGTGGTGGCATCCCACATAAAATAGAGGAAGACTGGCATTGATGTTAGCCCAGTGACAATCTTCCTCAAGCAAAAAGAGGAAGATTGGTAACAGGTGCTAGCTCAGGGCCAACCTTCCTCACAAAAAAAAACAAAACAAAACTATAAAAGTACATTTTCACAGAAATGGAACAAACAATCCTAAAATTTGTATGGAACCAATAACGCCCCCAAATAGCCAAAGCAATCTTGAGAAAGAAGAACCAAGCTGGAGGCATCACATTTCCTGATTTCAAACTATATTACAGAAATATAGTAATCAAAACAGCAGGATACTGGCATAAAAACACTACACACATATAGATAAATGGAATAAAATAGAGAGCCCAGCAATAAACCAAAGCATATATGGTCAATTAATTTATAACACAGGGAGCCAGCTCTGTGGCTCAGTGGTTAAGTTCGCGAGCTCCGCTGCGGCGGCCCAGGGATTGGATCCTGGGCGCGGACATGGCACCGCTTGTCAGGCCATGTTGAGGCGGCGTCCCACATCCCACAACTAGAAGGACCTGCGACTAAGATATACAACTGTGTACGGGGGGGTTTGGGGAGATAAAGCAGAAAAAAAAAAAAAGGTTGGCAACAGTTGTTAGCCCAGGTGCCAATCCTTAAAAAAAAAAAAAATTTATAACACAGGACCCAAAAATATACAATGGGGAAAAGACAGTCTCTTCAATAAATGGCATTGGGAACACTGGACAGCGACATGCAAAGAATGAAACTGGACTGCTATCTTACAACACACACAAAAATCATCTTAAATTGGACGAAAGATTTGAATGTAAGACCTGAAACCATAAAGCTCTTAGAAGAAAACATAGCGGTAAGTTCCTTGACATTGATCTTGGTGACGATTTTTTGAATCTGACACCAAAAGCAAAGGCCACAAAAGCAAAAGTAAATGTGTGGTACATCAAACTAGAAAAACTTCCGTACAGCAAAGGAAACCATCAGCAAAATGAAAAGGCAGCCTATGGGATGGGGAAAAAATTTTGCAAATCATATATCTGATAAGGGGTTAATATCCAAAAGACTTAACTCATATAACTCAACAGTAAAAATAACAATCCAATTAAAAAATGGGCTGAGGATCTGAATAGACATTTTTCCAAAGAAGACACACAAATGGCCAACAGGTACATGAAAAGATGCTAAACATCACTAATCATCAGGGAAATGCAAATCAAAACCACAATGAGATGTTACCTCATACCTGTTAGAACAGCTATTGTCAAAAAGACAAGTAATAAGTGTTGGTGAGGATATGGAGAAAAGGGAACTCTTGTGCACTAGTGGTGGGAATGTATATTGCTGCAGCCACTACGGAAAGCAGTATGGAGGTTCCTTGAAAGATTAAAAATAGAACTACCACATGATCCAGCAATTCCATGTCTGGGTATTTATCCAAAGGAAACAAAAACACTAACTCGAAAAGATACCTGCACCACCATGTTCACTGCAGCATTATTTACAATAGCAAAGGCATGGAAACAACCTAAGAGTCCACTGACGAATAAAAAGATAAAGAAAACATGGTGAATATATATACAATGGAATATTAATCAGCCATCAAAAAGAAGGAAATCCTGCCATTTGCAACAACATGGATGGACTCTGAGGGCATTAGGCTAAGTGAAATAAGTCAGATGGAGAAAGGCAAATACTGGATGATCTCACTTATATGTGGAATCTAAAAAAAACCTCAAACTCATTGATACAGGGAACAGCTTGGCTGTTGCCAGAGGCAGGGCTGAGGGGGTATGGGGAGGGAGCAAAATGTGTCAAGGTAGTAAAAAAGAGAAAAAAACGTTACATTGTTTTGAATAAATTATAATAGAAAGAATATAGAATTTTGTTATGAATGATTAATCTCCATAAAACTGGGTTTCTCACAGTTTCTACATGTACCTGTAGCCATTATGGTGTCATCTCTCCCTTGGGTGAAAATCACGATTCGCTGCCTCTTCGAGTTCACCTTTGGCAGAGCCTGTGTCTTTCTGGCTATCTCTTTAATGTCTTCAGTCTATTAATGAAAAGGAGGAAAAAATTCTCATAACCAGTACAATAAAGCCAAACTTTATTAGATTAAGGATTAAGCTTCTCATGTTCAAAATAAGAGAGACCTGAATATCTATTAAAAGTTATTTAAAAAATTTTACCACATACAAAAGTAAACAGAATAGTACAAACCTCCAAGGAAAACCCACCATTGGGCTGCAACAATTTTAAATTTATGATGAATCTTATTTCATCTATACCTTCATCCATCTGCCTTTCATATTATTCTGAAGCAAATCCCAGATACTATATCATGTCATTTGTAAATGTTTAGTATGTATCTCTGAAAGGTAAAGACTTAAACATAACCACATAACTGTAATCATATTTTGAAAAATTCACAATAATTCCTTAATATCAGCAAATACCCAGTTAGTTTGCAAGTTTCCAATTAAAGAGAGATTTGTAAAAAGAGGAATGTTGAATTATTTTAGAGGTCTGCAGAGCATAATTATGCTGTGGAAATAACATGGTTGCTATAATGCCCAATTTTTCAAAGAACTAAAATGAGAGGAAGATGCCAGCCATTTCCTACAGACTTAATTTTCTTTAAAAAAGACAAAGCTTAAAAAATTACAAATTAATCTAGAAACCCTGATGCTATTTTTCATATAGCATAGGCCGTGAAGTTTTACATCATAAATGTTGAAACTTAAGATCTAACTCATAAGCCATAGGCAGGACTTTTAGAATCATGTTTTCAACAATTTTAGATAATTTAAAAATCCATGTCTGAATTCAGTGGGCCTCTAAAATTGTCCATGGTTTCAGCTTTGTTGGTAGTTTACTGTATCACTGTGCAAAGTTTCAAACAGTTATGGAGAGAGAAATATATCTGAGTGGCATAAAAGATGTTAATTAGGACATACAGGGGGCCGGCCCAGTGGTGTAGTGGTTAAGTTTGTGTGCTACACTTTGGCAGCCCAGGGTTCACAGGTTCAGATCCTGAGCATGGACCTAGCACTGCTTGTCAAACTCTGCTGTGGTGGCATCTCACATAAAATACAGGAAGATTGGCACAGATGATAGCTTAGTGACAATCTTCCTCAAGCAAAAAGAGGAGGATTGGCAACAGATGTTAGTTCGGGGCCAATGTTTCTCACCAAAAAAAAAAAAAAGGATATACAGGACCGAAAAATTTAAGTAAGGGAGGCAGACAAATCATTCTGGTCACAAACAACATCAGAAACCATGACATTTTAAAAGGTATGACAATCTTCAGTGAAATATTTATATGTTGTTTGTTCACTAAATACTTAAATTCCAGATGCTATATGAAGTTAAGCTTCTACTACACTTAACATGATGATTCCAGAGGACTGTTCTTTCTGAAAAGACACTTCTGGTAGGACAATGCTGTTGACCTTTCAAACATGCTGACTATTTTACTTTTGACTGCTTATTGTAGAAGAGAACTAAGCCTGAACTCTGATAAGATGAGAAAAGAAATTCCCTAGGTTTTGCTGGCAAGACTATTAGAAATCACTAGTAATAGCTGAAAGGACCAAAAAAATGCCATATAATAACAATGTCTTCACTGTCTTAAATAAATGTATACATTTAATTAAAATGACTCACATATTCTCCCAATCTCCCTACCACACATATATTTTACGACAGTAGGATTTTTGCTTATGATTGAGTACAGTTCATATTTAATAAAGATAAGAGGCAAACTCCAGAAACAGATTCACTTTATCATCTTGGGAGCAGAATCTTATGCATGTGCTAGATGTTTTTAAAATAGAGGTCTTTCTTCAAGGTGGTATAAAGAATATATTAAGAATGACATTCCACTGTTGTCTTCAACCAACCCTGTGAGAAGATATTTTTTTATGTGAGTTTTGGTAACCTAATCAAAGAAATCTTACTTATGTCTCAAATTAAATCTTATAAAAACGGTAACTGAAAAAGGGTGAAATAAACTTTCCAAATATAAAACATAAATTTTTACAGAAAAGTTAAGCTTTATTCTATTTGTATCATATCTATAGCTCATATAAAACCTCTTTGTCCCTGTGGGATCACCGTCAGTGAGCACCAAATCTAAATTTCTCACTATGCCTTGTGCAGCCACTGCTTTGCTCTCAATAGCTGATCTCCATCTAGTATAAAAACTCGTGTGAAAACCTCAATTTTGTCTTCCCAATGCTACAGATTTCTAGCTCTGTATTCCTCCCACCCACATGGTAGATTCTTCTCCCGTATACTTGGGTTAACATATCTTAACAGAATGGTGAAATTACAGGGAACTTTAGAGTATGATATACCTGGATTTACTATTTGTGTGATGTTGAGCAGGTAAATAAACCTCTCTGAGGATCCATTTCCTCATCTACAAAACTAAGAAAATGATATTTATGTTAAAAGATGTAAGGAGTATCAAGGTATCTCCCTCTAAGATACTTATTTGCTATAAAAGGAAAAATAGTAATGTTACAGTGGAGAAAGTTGACAGACATCACTTTACCCCAGTGATCAAATTTAGTGATGCTAAAATTAGTGGACAAAACAGGATATTTGCATAGTCCTAAAATATCACCCCCAAGATATTTATTAACTATAGTGGGAAAATAGTAACTTTACAGAGGATAAACTGGCAAACACCACCTTAACCCAGTGACCGAGGGCAACATTATCAAGAATAAGATATTGGGAAATCATATACATCCCTGATATGATGCAATGAGAAGGGCACATCCTTTCTCTGGTATTTCCATCAAAAATGCATGACCTCAACTTAATTATGAGAAAATATTAGACAAACTCAAATTGAGGGACATTCTACAAAATGACTAACAAGTACTCCTCAAAGTATCAACCACCAACAACAAGGAAAGAATGAGAAACTGTAACAGATAGGAAGAAACTAAGGAGATATAACAAATAAATGCAAAGTGTGATCCTGGATTAGATTCTGGAACAGAAAAAGGAAATTAGAGGAAAAACTGGGGAAATCAGAATAAAATATGTAGTTCAGTTATTGGTATCGTACTAATGGCAATTTCCTGGTTTTAATGATTATATCTTGGTTAATTAAGATGTTAACATTAGGGAAAACTGACTGAAGGGTATCTGGGAACTCTCTGCACTAGTTTTGCAAATTTTCTAAGCCTAAAATTATTTCAAAATAACAAGTTATAAATAGTTGTGAGGATGAAAAAGGATAACGTAAGTGCAAGAATTTAATGTAACATTTAGAACATGCTAAGTATTTAATAAATATTAATTTCTTTCCTCTAATGAGTGTAATACTCTCCAAATCTGTCATATGCTGAGGGTGCCCCAAAATCTCTAGAAAGGGCCTCAAGAGTTTTGAGTGTAGAGAATTCAATTATGGCATCTAATAATGAAGGTGAAAGAGGAAAAGAGGGAGAAGTAGAAGAAAGCTCATACAATTTAGCTGTGAGCCTGCATATAGCTCTGAAGTATATGTATATACTCATGTATATAGCTCATTAAATCTTAACTTTTCTAGGCAGTAGGTGTTATTACTACATTCCCTTTTTATAGATGAAGAAACTGAGTCACAGAAAAGTTAAGTGACTTCCTAAGGTCATTAATACACTAAGTGGAGCCAAGACTGGCACCCACAAAGTCTAACTCCAAGGATTACACTCTTAACCACTGCTCCATGCTATCCACAAATTGCACTGATTCTACAAATTCTGGTAATGTGCTTTCTGTCGTTGTTATCACACAACTAAAGCATGTTCATCTCAAATCATTTTTCTGCCACATTCACAAGTCATTGACAATCTTGTATTCAAGCTTGCTATTTTTTCTTAATTATTCTGGCTTGTATTTTACCCTAGTGAATTTCAATATTTGAATTTCAAGATATTTCTCATTTTCCAAGGTCATTTGGAAATCTAATCTTCTCCTCCAACATGTTAGAATGTGAGAAAGAAGTGTAGTTTATATAGTAAAGAATACCAGACTTAGAGAGCTGAGCTCTGGTTCTGGCTCCATTATATATTAGCTATGTGACCTTGAACAAATCATGTAGCTTTTTTAAAAATCTCTTGAACTAATATGGTAATACATGCCCTACCTGCCCTCGAAGGTTTGTGTGAATATTAAATGTATTAATGATATGTTAGAAAAGGTTTTATAAACTGTGAAGCATTTTATAAAGGTAAAAGTATGCTTTTATTGTCATTGGTGATAAAATACCTTAAATTTAGCATTGTCTTCCAAATTAAAGAATATAGTCTCTTCATTCCGTTTTTAACAACCTGGTGATATAAATGTTAAACAATACTGTCACAATCTACCTACACCTGTAGAATGCCAATTGTGGTGTTCCCACACATTGCCTCACTTAACCATAGCATATTTTGTTTTCCAACTAGAAACTTCTGTAATAATTAAGGTGTTCATATGATGTGTCAGTCTCCAGTCTTAACTCATACTACACTCCTCTTCACTCACTCCACTTCACTCATTCAATGTGACTCCAGTCACTGGCCTTCCGTCAGTTCCTGAAGTACACAGTAATTATGCTCTTTCTTTTTTTTTTTTTTTTTTTTTTGCTCCTTATTTGAGGGCCTTTATACTCTTGCTCCTTCTGTTTGAAATTTGTTTCCCTGTTTGTTTTGCTTTTTTTCTGCCATGGCTAGATATTCATATTTTTCAAGTTGTACTTCCTCAGAGAGTCATTCCCTGACTATTGTATCTAAAATAGCACCTCCTCCTGTGTTCTCTTTCACAGTACACTCTCTGGTCATTTCCCTCTTGTCTTCAGGGTCTATCAAAGTGTTAGGCACATAGTCAGTGTTCAGTAAAGATTTGTTGAATAAATGATAAAATGAAGAGAATTAGAAGAATATTGTATTTTTTTCCCTTAATCTAACTGTTCTGAAACTGTCTTCTTTTGGTACTCAGTCACCTAGCAAAGCAGCATTGCACTCTCTTAGCCAGCAAGACCTGACTTAATGTTTATTTCCAGAAACTCTGGGTAATCATACTGTATTCTTTATATTTGTGAGGAACACAGGAACTTTAGAACAATCTTGGAGAATTCTTTGGGAATCAATACCTCCTGAACACTCTCTGTGGACTTTCTATCCAGTGCTGATCAATGGAACTTTCTGTGATGATGTGTATGTTTTATATCTGCACTGTCCAAAACGGTAGGTACATTGGCTATAGTGCACTTGAAATGTGCCTAGTGACGCTGAGGAAATGAATTTTAAATTTTACATAAATAGCCACATGTGGCTAGTGGGTGCTGTATTGGATAGCACAATTCAATGCTTTACTCTCTCAGTGGTTTAAGATGATAGAGTTGTCATTGGTCAGAGAAAGAATACAAGTCTGGGATCCTCTAGGTAGAGCCATGGGCTGTGGGGAAAGTTGGAAAAGGGAAAAGGATTACTTTATTTCCTCTATAGTCATAAGTTTTATATCTTAGAGATCTAAAGTAAGAAAATTAAAATTTGTTGCTTAGAGTAAAACTAAATAAATTACCCAATAAGGAAGGTATGAATCCTCTTTATCATTAGGCACATACTCTATTGCACAGAGAATGAAAATACAAATAATATTCATTTTTAGGTTTTGGAGGTATTTTCTTCACTTTATTTAAATCAACTTTCAATACAGCTTTTAAAAGCCTTCTTAATGAAACACGCTTTTAAGAATCTTATTTTTATTCAGGTTCTAAAAATACAAAACTTTTATCGGCTCAGCTCAAGATAAGACAGATTTAAAAACACATTGCAGTCTGAACTGATTTTCCAGAATAATAAAAGGCCTCATGAAACTTTTTACCCCAAGAATTGTCATTTTAAATTCTTAGCAGGTCTGTCATTTAAATCAGGCACTATGCAATTTTCCATCACCTATATATATAAAAAAATCCTCTCTATTCTGCTTTGTGCTCTGCCCAGCTCCAGTTTTTATCTCATTCTCCAGTGCCCTCCTAAGCTGCCTCTTCTTACTCAAAATTGCCCAATTCATTTTAAAGATTAAAGATTTTTTTTAAAAGAAAGATTATCTAAAATTTTGCAGAGAAGCTAACCAGAATATCATAAACAATGCCACTGAGGATATTTCCTGATGAATAAACACTGGTTATTTTTAGAGGCATTTGGATTGTCTGTTAGCAGACAGATCACTAGTGGCAATACTCAGTGGTTTTGGGAACTGATGGGGATTTATAATAGAAAGTGAGTGTAGGAAGGCAGAGATGGTGGGAAGAAAAAAATGCTCACCTTTCTTTTTATCTTTTCTTTTCTCTCCTCTCATTCATGCCCAAAATTTAGAGGTAAAATTAAAGTTGGGAGGGATAAAATGCAGATTTTGTCTAGTCTGTCACGCTAGGCTTGAGAGCACTGACACATTTTCATACACATTAAACTGTTAAGATAAACTGATTTATTCTTGTTTGACTCTTTAAAAATACGAAGTTTCATACCTATGTCTAATTGACTAAGGAAACTTTAATGGCATTTGAAAATCACTGAATTTCTCTAGATAGCATTCCACACATGGATCATATTTTATTAACAATACTTACTTGAGGTTATTCTACTCAAGGCTCTTATATATTCTGCAGTGCTTGTAATATTTTAGGGAACAGATGAAGGGACACATCAAGACACTGTGTGCGTTATTCATCTAACATATCACCGTCAACATCACCAAAAGAGCAGTTTTGCTATGTCAGGAGGTAATAAGGTATATTCCTACTATAATCGTCATCACTTTGCTTATATGCTGTAATCAATTATGGCAAATTTATGGTTAAAAGAAATAATTCTAGAATCATTAAGTAAGAACTAATGGAAGGGTTAATATGGTGCTGGTTGGTAGAAAATAGAAAAAGCAGTTTGTTGCTAAGACTGAATTTAAACCAGGCATATTCAAAGCAAGTAGTTCAAGGGGGCAATAGAAGTATGAAGTAGTCAGGTTTAATAAACTATTTAAAAAAATTATTATCTAGGCACTACAGAATCATAATCATTTATTATGCAACCTGTTATATTTCTAAGCATCTACCAAACTGGTTATTTTCTAGAACCAAAATACATTTTTTATGTTAGCACAGAAAACAGGGCACAAATTTAAGTTTTACAAGCTTTTATCTGTGGAGAATTTTGATGTAACAACAGAGAATATCAATTGTTAATATTAAAATTTAACATCAATGAAAGTTTAAAACATGACAGAAAACATCTACTTATATTCTCATGATCAAAACACTTGACTTTTAAATTGAATATTCCTCTGGTTACATCTAGTCCTGTATATCAATAGCCAGTTTGGGAAATTACAAAGTGAAACTTAAATTTGATTAAAAAAATATTTGGAAATCTTTACTCCTTCTTCCACATTGATTCAACCTTATATTCACAAGAATATGGTAAAACACAAAAAGCAAGCACCCAAGAAATTATCACAGTACCTAACAGTTGAGTATTATAAGGCAAAGTTTCCTATCCTGATATAGTTTTTCCATAGGATCTTGACAGTAAAGTAGAATACTTAAACCACATGCTCACTGTCTTCCTCCAAGAAAAGGAAGCTCTGTGTCTGGCTGTCAAGTCTTACGACATGGGTAACATGCACATGTATTACAGTACTTTGTTGCTTGATAATGAATCTGCCTTTCATATATTTAAATAATAGTTCCATCACAAATTCATTCAGCACCTTTCTCTAAAGAGTTCAAAGTGAGCTTACTAATAGATCCAATCAGTGCTTACAGCTTCTCTATCTGGCATACAATACTGAATATGCAAATAAGGAGAGAGTGTCCATATTCCAGCTCTAGTCATCTTAAATTTTTTAAATTACTACCATGCGACATTCCAACTTGCCATACAGAACACAGCATTCTGCATAATTCTGGCTCCATAAATATGATAGTCATAAAATTTGTAAACTGAGTTAATTCTTTGTCATTTATCCTGGGGTCAGATTAAAGTCAGCATTTTCTAACAATTGACTAGAAGATGGATATTCTATAGATAAAAACATGGTCTTGTCTGTTATGCTAATTTTGCCAACAACAACCACATGGAGTTTTGAATCTTGACAGGATAATACTTTTACCAGGAAAACGGAATCCGGACGTGGAAATTAAAGCCATTTATCGATATTTAGTTTCAAAAAATTTATATGTTTTATGCTATCCAAAAAAAAAAGGAGAAGGAAAAAAAAAGATTCAAACAGGAAGTTTATATGAGCAGAATTTAAATTAATCAGTTCCTAACAACTGTTAAGTACAACCTTTTGGAAATTAATTTGCATAATGATAATCTACATGTAGTGGGGTTGAAATTATTTAAACGACATTATAGTTCACTATTTAGTCTTGCTCCACCACTGCTTTTGCAGCGAATCTTTATGAAATGTAATGTAGCTAATGAGGTAGCTTTTTAACTGAACAAACTGACAGGCCCCATATCTGCAGAGGCAGCTTGAAACCGTGCCCAACCTCTTGGCTTCCCAAGAGGCTTTTCAAAATTCAATAAATAACATCTGTAGGCGATGTTGGGTGCAGACCTAGCAGAGTGCGTCATAACACTGTGCTGGCAGAACAAAGAAACCATGACGACTGCCAAGTTTCCATGGCAACCGCTGCGAGGCTCTGAGAGTATAATAGCACATCAATCACTGTCCAAAAGAACTTCATTATCAGCTAGAAAAAACCTTTAGGATCTGTTTAGTGTGCAATTGCGGGTTAACTCACCTCAAAGCCTTGCTCTCTAGCAAAAGTGGCAGCTTCCTGAAATTAAAAAAAAAAAAAGAACAGTTAATTATGAAGTGCTAGGTAATGAAGAAATAATCCATTTTGAAACTCTGATTCAAACAGCCTTCTTTTTACACAATTATCTCAATATACCCACATAGTTCAATTTTTATTCTTACACCAAAAAAGCTTTCTTTTTTCCTTGGCATAAAAAAAAAGGCAGCATAATGTCAACACACTTCACAAGTTAGAATAAAGAAGATGTAGCGCATGTTTTTACTGTAGCTGTCAGTGAGTTCAGGTGTTTTGACCCCAGCAAAGACAGATAATCATTTGAAACCTGAAGAACACGCCGGTGCTTATGTTTTTAATTAAAACAATATCTTTCAGAAAGCTCTTCTGTCTGTTAATAAATGTAAAGATTCAGAAAAATCACCATTTTGCAATCCCTGATGAAATTTATTCGAGCAAGGATCATCAATCGATGTCAAATTCATTATGTGAAAGGATCATGGGGAACTGGGTATTTCATGGAATCAAAATATTACAGATTATATGCTGGTCACAGGGAGTGAAGTATAACTTAATAATGGAAGGCTCAAGCTGTCATCATCTTAACCCAGTGATCAATCCTACCACTTATTATCATTAATAGTGGGATCACCAAATATCGTGCCTTCTGTTATAATGTAGTACAAAGTACACAGCATTACCTCTAAAGTTTTCTGACCAAAAATTTTTAACATGAATTAATCAAAACTTTAATTCAAAACTTACAGTCTACAGGAAATACAGAGGATAGCAGAACAAGTTAAATGATACACTGAGAAAGCAAATGGACAAATCTGTAAGAATATTCTTCAGGACAGGGGCCGGCCCCGTGGCCGAGTGGTCAAGTCCTCACATTCCATTTTGGCGACCCAGGGTTTCGCTGGTTCGAATCCTGTGATCGGACATGACAGGGCTCATCAAGCCATGCTGAGGTGGCATCCCACATGCCACAACTAGAAGGACCCACAACTGAAAATACACAACTATGTACTGGGGGCTTTGGGGAGAAAAAGGAAAAATAAAATCTTAAAAAAAAAATGTATATTCTACAGGACAAGTAGCTTGGTGTCTTCAATCAATCAATGTCATGATAAAGTGAGGAGGGGAAAAATGACCAAGAGCAATGTAGAGACCTTACCTGATGCAGTTTTGAACAAACCAGCTATAAAAGACATTTTTGGGACAATTGGAGAAATCTGAATATGAAACAGGAATTAGATAATATGAGGAATTATCAATTTGATATGGAAAACGTCCTTAATTTTTAGAGGTTTATCCTGAAGTACTTAGGAATAAAACAGCATGATATATGTAGCCTACTTTAGAATACCTTAAAAAAAAAAAGTGAAGCAAAAATGGCAAAATGTTAACTATTAAATCTAGATGTATTCAGTATTTCTACATTTTGTCTGTTTGAAAATTATTATAACAAATAGTCCAAAAAAACCTCCCTATTTCCCTTTGACATAAGATGACGAGGTAACAAAAGTTAAACATTAAAGAAATATAGTTAAACATTTTAATACACATTTTTCTAGATATTAAATATCTTAAGGGCACAATCTGATGAACATTGTTATATAATCTAATGCCCTTATAACAGGTTATCAAATGACAAAAACACACCTATGTAACCAAATCCTTTCTCTTTCTTTACTCTTTGCTTTGCGCATATATTTTAATTTTAGGACTGATAGAGAAAACGGAGGAAATAGTACTTTTCAACTCCACTTCCCTCTTGAAAATGGAAAAAAGTGCAGAGAACTGTCAAGAGCCTCTAAATCTTAACTCACATTCCTCCAAAATTATCTTTGCCAAGAGATATTAATAGAAAGATGGGATTTGAGCCTGAGTAGTGAGCAGATCCAACTCGACTAAAACGACTGCTGCACCAAACCATGTAAGGCAGAAAGTACGGTCAATGTCTTCAGCATAAATTTGGGTACTGTCTACATGTTAAGGAAAACACTGGGAAATACAGCATGTATGCACTTATGGTCCAAAATACTAATAATGTGTAGATTTAAACAACCATTTCGAGGGTTTAAAAAGGTTGAAATGGATAATTACAGCTGAACACTGAAGTTAATAAAAAGTGATAAGCTGAAAGTTCAACTCCTTAGGCTGTTCACTAGAGAAGCATAACCTTGATTGAGTTAGCCTTAGTGATGTAGATTAAAAAAACTGAATTATGATCTTGACAATTGGTGCAAGAAAGGTTAGCCTCTTTGACAATTTACTTACAGTAGAATTTTGTACACCATATAGTCAATAATATTTGCTGACGTGGATGTCAAGGAAAAAGATAAGGATCAAAAGACATCAATGCAGTATTTTTCCAAGCTGTCCAACCCAACAATTAACCAAGCGAACTCTTATACGAAAAAGACAACTGAAAAGCTCGGCTAGAACAACTTATTCACATGGAACTTCATCAGAGACATGAAGGAACCCTCGAGGACTATAAGATAAAGTTAATATGAAGAATCTGTATGACTAAAATTGTACTAAGACATAAAAGCTCAAAATTCACATGGAGTAGTTAAATTGCTTTTTTAATGTTCAGTTTTGCTCACACAAATGTAAGAAGCAATTAACTGTGATCTGTTATGCTATAGTAGAACTGACTAATTACAAGAAGGCACATATATAAATGTCAGATCAGTATTCGTTAAGGAAACCAGGCCCTAGGACACTTCCACATCTGTAAACTATTCCAAGTGGTAACATATTTCTGACTGAGGAAGGATATGCTGAAGAGAAGTCAACTCGATTTCCAATCTCAGCACCCCCTCACACAGGTTTGCAGAGCTGTGCCCTATCACTGAAAAGCTAAGCACTTGTTCTAGGGCTTAAAAAGATCTTATCTCCTGACTTACTCCCACCTTCCTTTGATCTGGGGCTGGTGCCCCCTACTCCATTAAAGAAGGCAGCTGGCTCACTTCACTGAAGACTTTCCCAAAGCTAACCTTTGATCTGAAGGTGTTTGTAGATACAAGGATGGAACAACATTTATTTTTTCCTCTCAGCAAAACAAATAAAACAACATAGGGGAATAGTTTGACTCAGTAAGAATTTTAAGCAGGATACTAGTTCTCAGATTCACTGCATTAGGGACAGAAAGAAAAGGCATTAGGTCAGAAAATAGAGAAGAAAAAAGGGGCATACATGGTGGGCAGAAGAGCAAGGCAGGTTCCAAATATCAGGGGTAATTCCAAGTGAACTGATCACACTAAATTGAAAAGGACTTTTTAGTGTGCCTTTGCAGTAAAAGTGAGAAAAGAAAACAAGCAAGTCCCCATCTGTGCTGCCCCAGGGCGCCACGCACTGAGTTTCACAAGTCTAATGAAGCAGTCAGGTTAAAATCCAACTGCAGAGTGGATGTGACATGTGGAGAAGGGCTAGGGTTAGAATAGAGAAGCAGGGTGGTTCCTAATCCATGTGATAATCATTATATTTACAGGCTTTCCATTTTAGATCTGACATCAAAAATCACAAAGGAGGATGGATTAAGGAAATAAACAACTGATACAGAGGCTTTCCTGCTCCCCCGAGAGTATAGCACTTTCATTCATGCATGACAAGCAACAAAAGCAAAACCAAACAGGCCAGGAAAGAGTATTTCTGAGAAGGCTGGATTTCACATTAACACTTCTTTCCATTTTGATAACTTTCACTGTTCTTCAGTTTCTCAGGTCACATTTTCAGAATCCAGTTCCCATTGTTGTCTATGAAGTATCATTTTTGGTTTACAATGAGTGATACTCACATAATACGTCTTTTACAACAACAAAGTCATTTTTTCCTTCCTGGAATTGAGTGTTGTGAATAAAATGACATATAATTAAAGTCTTAGACTCTCATCTACACCACGCTATTTAGGATTTGCAGCAGGCTTGCTGCTTCACTGACCAGACTAAAAGGGTGCTAGTGAAACAACAATCAAGTATGGTTTATTGAGGCGAGGTTTAAAAAAAAAAATCTGAAATTTATGGTTAATGAAAACCATGGAATACTTACATTAAGAGCTATTTAAAGGGATTAGCAAGCCACTATTAAAAAAGCACAGTCTTCGGATTATACAGGAACAGAAGGAGAAACTCAAGTGTGTGTTTGTGTGTATGAAAGACAACTATTTGCTTTATAGTCAATTGAGGAGGAAACAATTTCTCTGCATTCTGTCTGATAATACCCCAGTTTTAATTTATAAAATAGAATTATCTGTACTCAATAGTAAATCAAAACCATAACTTGTCCATATTCTTATTTCAATTCCAACTATTTGTTACTAGATATATAGAAATACAAATGATTTCTGTATATTGACCTTATATCCTGAGACTTTGCTAAATTCACTTATTTGTTGTAGGAGCTATTATTTTGCTTTTGTAAAGATAGTTTTCTATGTTCCTACTAACCATGCCACAAAGTTATTTTGCGAAGTTAGCAAATGCCTTTAAAAAAATTTTCATCTCTCTTTTCTCCAGGGTGATCTGAAGGGTATGACTACTAACTACGACCACTTTACCATAAGCTCATAACCCTTGCCCTGCTGCTTCCTGCTCTGCACTTCAAACCACTGGACCCAGTTAGAACTATTATCTGCTTGCTTATGTTACCACTCTACTTTTTAATCTTAGACATGAGGGGTCCTGGGTGTAGGCTGAAACTTCATGGACTGAAACAAAAATGGGAGAAGGTCCAATTTAGGACCACAGAAAGGTACTTCTGACTATCCACAGAAAGCAGTCCATCCATCCAAAACAAACTACTTTGTTGCTCCAAAGCAAGGAGAAAGCAGAAAATTCAGTGGGAGTCCCCCTGGTCCTCATTCAAGTCATAGGAGTCCAGAGCTTTGGGAAAAGCCAAGGGAGAATGGAGCCACCAAACCAGTTCTGCTGTTTTACTTTGTTCATCTCTCCATTCAACAAGTATTTACCTTCTAAGTATCGTTTTAGGCTAATAGATACTATTATCCTAAAGGT